CCGACACCGTAGCCACCGACCTGCACAGGACCAGCAGCTGCGTCGCGTTGGCGCTGCCGTTGCCGTTCCCGTACTATTACTACTACTACTACTACTATTATTACTACTATCCTCGTGTTGGGATCGCCGCCTCGTTGTTAAAGTCAAATCGCCGTACACTCATCGACGACCACGAGGACGACTCGTCATTACTATTCGTAAGGATCGAAGAACCGCAAGTGAAATTGACGTGTTTCGACTTAGCATCGACTGAGCCAAAAGCGAAGAAGCAACAGGACGAAAAGGAATACGACAAAGTGGCAAACGTGGCGTGTCCGATAAACGACAAGAGAGTAATAGTGTTTGCAAGCAAGAACAGTAACAGTGTTAACCGCCAGAACGCGCGAGCACGATTTTCCGCGTGACCAACAGCCACTCGCTGTTACGCCGTGTCGATGGTAATCGCGTTTGTGATTCATACAATACCCGGCATGGTAACGGTTACGACCTGAAACGGAACGATCCTCGTGCATATAATTTACGCCGAATGCAATAATAACACATTAATCGTTGTTCTGATCATTAAGCAGAGACTAAAGTTTCTGACTTACATAAAATGGGGAATTAAACGAAATATAGATATATGTGCATACATATATACGTACATACATAGGCGTGTGATCTTGTGTATCGTGAATGTTAGTGACAATAAATTCGTCGAGCATATAGTGCGCGTACGCAGTTATAAATTTGTAGACTTGTTATTGGTTGAAATTCGAATTTCAAGTACGTGCAAATTCGTTGGCATTCGTGTACAATCGACAAAAGCGTTGCGCGACAGAGCCTCGTCAGAATATAATATAAAAACCAAGATAACCTTGCTGTGTTGATACACGCGTGCCGGGTGTGGAACAGAAAAATTCGTTGCAAGTGGAAAGACATAGTGTGAATAGCCACATACGAATGAGGAAGAAAAACGGTGAAATACAAGAGGAAATAGAGAACAAAGGAACAGGAGAAGTGTGATATCGGACCGTTGCATTCGTACTTCTACCTTGAAATTTCGATTCGTGTAGTGCCATATCGCGATACACATATACGTATTGTATCCTTCTCTGCTGTCTCTCTGTATGCCTCATCCGCCCCTT